CGGAGTTGTTTTAATGAGTGTGGCGGTGTCAGCTCTTGCCCTGATGCCGTGAAAATAATAGTGTTGCATTTTATCCTCAAGCGCCCTGAATCTTGGTAACAAGAAATTGAATCTCTTAATGATTGCTGAAAAAACAGAATTGCCCCCCCCAAACACACAGAGTCTCAAAAGTTCTTAGGTTTTGTGGTTGAAAGTGTCAGGCTTCGTTAGTGCACGGGCAGGCGGTCGATGGAAGGGATTACTGATTGCCCTGTACTCGGCATTCCCGAGGCTGCACCCAGAGCGCCGTGTCCCCCAAGCCCAGCAGAGGTTTTGTCAAACGGGGATGCTCCAGCAGAGCCCACCCGGGCTGGAGCAGCTGGTGTGTGAGGAGAGGGTGGATGGAGCTGGGGCTGCTCAGCCTCCTTCAGGAGATCCTTCAGCCCGTCTCACCGCTGTGTGCTCCCAGAGAAGGTGGAGTCAGACTCTTTCCAATGGCCTCACTCCTGACTTGTGGGTTCTTGGAGCTGGCTGCTGGCAGGCAGGATGTATGTAGGACCTCAGGGTAAAGGGGCTGCACCGTATTGCCACTTTTCCTCCTTTCCTTTTATCCGTATTGCCACTTTTCCTCCTTTCCTTTTCTACGTTGATGACTTAGGCTCTTCATCAGTTGGTGTTTGCTATCACACTATGCTTATACTTGTTTTTTTAACTTCTCGCTTTTAATTTTCCTTCTATCCCCTTCCTCAGTTTGATTTTCTGCTTGTCCACTCTGCCAGTCTTTGCTGATTCTCACCTGCTGTCTATTCAGTTTATTCTCAGTGGTGTTGTCTTTTTTTATCTTTGATTTTTGTCTTTCAGTGTTCATGAGCCTTCAACTGAAACAGCTCTAAAAATGTCCCTTGTGTTTCTCTCCTGACATGTGGAGGTGGGAGTAGGAATACAGTTCAGGCTAGGGGGAGCATGGGTTGGATTCTCAGTGTTGTAATCCTGGGAAAGGTCCTGTCAATCAATGGCAGTGTTTTAGGGAATTGGCAAATACTTGTCTCCTCGTGTACCCTATAGTAAAATGAGGAGTATCCGTTCAGTGAAGAGTTGTGATCGATCACTGATTGTGCGAGTTGGTTAAAAACCATTCTCCCCAAGAGCAGTGTGGTGGCTCCTTCCAATGTGGCTCAGGCTCTTCTCAGTCCTGGTATCCGTTGTTAGGAGATGCATTTCTATTGCAGCCTTTCCCTCAGGGGGGACGCTGGGAGGGTTTCCCTCATCTACTTAACCATCTGTTTCAGGGAATTTGCAGGGTTATTTTGCAGCACCAGTTTCTTGGCTGAAACCAGCCAGTGAATTTGGAATTGAGGCATTCCTATGCTAGACAGCTTACGTGGGCAGGCTGTGCTTCCTTAGGAGGCCAGGCTGGAAATCTGCTCACGGTGAGCAGAGCCAGAGCTGTGTCTTGGAGAGGTGAGATTTTCTCACTTCAGCCTGTGCAGCCTTTAGCATGACTTCTGTAAAACCAGTCAGTGCCCAGCACAGAGGTAGCTGGGCTTCCACCTTTGTTCTGTCTCCTGGGGTTGGTGGTGACTTTTCCCTGTTGCTTTTACAGCTGTTAGGAGGTTGCAGGTGAGAACATCCAAGTATGCTGAGTTTCTTCCTGATGTGTTAAGCTCCTTTTACCAGGAGAAATTGCTATTACTGGATACAGAGCAATCCTTTTGAAATTTTGCCTGTTAATTCCTTGTTCACACAAAAGGCTTGTTTAGACTTTTTTTTTTTTTGCCCCTAGCAGGGAGTTAAAAAACCTTGTCCTTAAACAAACAAATAAAACCCAAGCAAACAAAAACCCACCACCAAAACCGCAAAGAAGCAGAAGCCCTGATGGATAGATTCCTCTGTTGTGTTTGAACAGAATGGCACTGTTGTCAGACATGTTTTCTGCTGTTGCTATGATCGTTGGTGTGGCCTGCTCCAGGGCAAGATGGAGCCATGAAGAAACTCACACGTTTTCTTTACTTGCTAGTAATTGGTCCTTATCTAGTGGTTTTGATCTTCAAAGATCTTTTCAAATGCTAAGTAATTTTTGTAGCATTCTGAAGATACTGGCAAGAAGTGTGCCTGCATTTTTAGATGGGGAGAACTGATTTTGATAGTGTGACTTGCCCAAGGCTACAGGGTTAAGTTTTATTCTAGGATAGTTTTGGCAGCTCTTGGTGGCTGGTTGTGAGCTTAGAAGGAAGTGTGTTGGGCTTCCCTTACCTGTGCTGTACTGATGACAAACTCGAGGACAAGATCTTGCTGCCAGGGCTCTCACCAGTAACAAGCGTCAGGAGTGAGTCTGAAGTCCAGAGCAAGTGGTTAAAAAGTATGGAACTGCAGATTTATTTTTTTTCCCAAAACATATTAGAACACAGTAAGTTCTTGGAGTAAGCTGCTGGGTCAAGGACAGAGCTTGGTGGTGTCACTGAGCTGAACTAGAGAAGCACTCATCTTCTGCTAGTGAGACATTCACATTATTGCTCAGTTTATGTCTTACTAGGCAGTGGATAATCTAGATGCAACACTTGGATACCAAGCTCTTCTGCTTCTACAGAACTGCTCATTGAGTTAATACCATTGAGTACAGTTGACCTTTGCTATTGGGAACCCACTGAAATTTGGTGACATTTCATAATAAGCAGAAAGCTGTTTTTCACCAGAGACATGTATAGTCGCCAGTTCCTGTGGTGTTTGCCTCTGTGAGAGCCCTGTTGTGTTAGCTGAGGAGCTCCTGGTGGTCTTTGGTACCTTTGAGCTACAGCAGCACTATTTCTTCTGTCCGTCAAAGGAAACTGAGGCACAGAGTGCCTGGGTAGGAGCTGTGTGGCAAACACAAGAACGAGGGGGTGTCAAGCGGGATGGAAATGTATTGCAAATGGCTGCTAATCCTATCACAGCCATCTGAGGTGTGACACAGTGATCTGTGATTCACTGCGGTTGCTTTTGGAGTTTGCCCTGGTCTGTCTGGTTTGGGTGTTTGTGGCTCAAATAGTGAATTTAATTTTGCTTTTTCTTAAGGTGGGTCTAGCCGCTGCTGCCTCCTCATGGTTTTTGCCTGTTTCCTGATGCTTCTGTGTGCTGTTGCAGCTCTTTAACCACCAACTTGCTTCTCAGTCACCTCTTGCAGTTGCATCTCTGGCAGCTTGGGCTCTAGTGATTAATACCAGCCAACTTCAGGAGTTTATGTTGTGCTACATTTCTCCCCTTAATGTTGGTGGATCTCACACGTGGGATGTGATTTTTTCATTGGGATGTGGTAGCCAAACTATTGCCCTGAGTCCTGGTCTGTCCTTTCTTTTGGGTCACACCCCTCCCCTCGCTGTAAGGTCTTTTGAAGGACAGCTCGCCCTGGTACTTCCATCCCTGCTCTACCCTGCCTGATCCAGAATGGTGACTCAAACGCTGTGGGACACTGGTGCTTAGCAGTTGTGTTGGAGCTGGGGACCAGCTGCCTTCAGGCAGGCCTTCAGGCTACCCTGGTGGGGAGGACCGTTTGGTGAAAGATGAAAGGCTGGCAGGTGAAGTAGCAGTCCCCTGATTCACATAATCCACCTCACTGTAAAATGTCAGCAGCAATTTATCAGTATTGATTGTCCTTTCTAATGTTGTATTCTCACTTTATCATGCAAATAGAGCTGGGTAGGCTGACATTTCAGTGAACTTGCATCGTCTTATTTAGTGGAAAAGTTGCTATTTAGAGCATCAAAAGAAATTGCTTATAAAGAATATGGCAATGTCACTTTGGATTTTTTAATGTAATAATTGGATACAATTTGAAGCATTATTTGAGCAAGGGAAGTGGGCTCTGAAATCGTACATGAAGCTGGAATGAAAGGCAAGCTGCTGTCTGTTCCATCCAAACATCTCTGGGCACCTCTCTGAAAGCTGCTGAATTAAACAGCAAGCCTTTGAAGAGTGCAATTCACAGCTCTTGAATAAGGAGGTGATGTCTTGTCCTAACCAGTTACTATTATCAGGCTGGATGATAGTTGAAGGAGTCCCTTTGTATTTGAGTGCTCTTATAGAGCTGAGCAGGGCCCGAATGTCCATTCTGAGAAGCTGCTGCACCATCCTTCCCTTCTGCAACAACCTGCAGTAGCCTGTAGTGCTGGCTGAAAATACCCCATCCATAAGACTTTGGTGTCTGATTGTAGCAAGAAGGTTGTGTCTCTTCACTCAGCAGCTGCTTGGTGAGGTCTGAGAGGTCAGTTAACTACTTGAGAGTGGCCTCATCTCTGACTGTTCCGATGGTGATTAAGTAAGTTATCACTTCAGGGAATCGGAGGGATTTTGTAAAGGACACATAGGCTTCTTGTTGGCATTTGATGTGTCCAGTATGGAAACATGATGCCTGTCTACTTCATTTTAATTTGTCCTTAACATCTTAAAAACCTCTGAGAGGTGAAAACACTGCACTGTTACACATGATAGTGTATGCTAATAAGCTTGAACTCTTATAGCGCTTCTTTTTCCTGAAGCCATTGGCACTATGCTAGTGGAGAAATGCTGCCGCAAACAATAAATTGAGTTTCCCAAGCAGGTTCTTGTTTTCCAAAGTGTGGTGTTCTGGTTGAGGTTAGCTGGTAAGCCAGTACAGGAAACAGGTCCTGCACTCATGATCTTGAAGGGAAGCAGGTTCTCGTGGCTTCCCAAGGCATGACCAAGAGAAGGATGAGAAATCTAATGCTGCTTTACATCATAAACAGGATATGACACTTGCTTTATTCATATAAATGTGCCCAGAGGCATACTGGTACAACAGTGCATGTGTGTTCTTTTGCCTTTTACTATTTTTTACTATTTTATTTTCCTTTTATGTTTTTTTCAGGGAGGTAGTAAATTATAAAGGATGTATGTATGAGGGCAGAGGGATCTCAGCTTATCCTAAAACTTGTTCCATGCATGCTCCATGGTATCTTTTACATGTGTTGAAGTATGCTGAAATGGATGGCATGTGGCACTCACTACTTTTCTTTTTTTTCGTTCAGGTTCACTTCCCTGATGTTGAACGAGTGGAGTGGCTGAACAAGGTGAGGAGCTGCAGTTTGTGAGGCCATCTGCTCTGAGCTGCATCACAGCACAAACTCTGCGAGCCAAGTCTGAGAAAGTTATCGAGTCACTACAATATGGCTCGATCATATCAGTGTCTGTACTTAAGTCCTGGAGCTACTGAAGCTTAGAGTTGCCACTGAGGTTTTGGTGAGATCCAAATGTATGCCTGGTTGATATAGGTTTGATGAATTTGACCACAACACTTTATTCTGAGATTTTTTTAAAAAAAGCAAGTGTGTGTGTATGTATTATTATTATTTTAGCAAAAGTAGTGGCATCTCCTCTTACCGGAGAGGTTCCCAGAGAGTGCTGAGGCAGTTGCTCCCATCAGCAGGTGTAGTCACTGGAACTGGCTCCTGTGGAATTCAAAGCAAAACAGCTGAACTTGCAAATTAGCATCCTGTAACTATCCTGTTTTCCTCTTTAGCACACTTTCGTTTTGATGTAAATCATTTCTAAATAAACTTAACGCCAGGGAACTTTGTGACACCTCAGAGTAATTAGGGACTATTGTGCTTTAGAGACTTTAACCCTGGGCTTTGCTGGCTCAGCCACTGTGGTTAGAAGCAGTCAATAGACTCTGTGGTGCTGAAAACTTACCCTTCAGTTCCTAAACCAAATTCTTTTTCTGAAGAACTGATGTGCATCCTTCTGTAATGATGACTTAAGAGTGCAAATATGTTTTGGTATTTTAAAAGGACAGACATAAATAGCCAGGTGTTGTGTGATGTGTGTGTCTGTTTCTAAACAAAAGGTATTTTATACAATCTTCGGTGTATTTCAGCTTTTGCTGTTCTTCAGGTCCTTGTACAGGCTTGGCCATACTTTGGGACAATCATGGAAAAAACATTTAAAGAAGTTCTTGAACCAAAAATCAGAGCTAAGAATGTACATCTGAAAACATGCACCTTTACCAAGATCCACTTTGGCGAGAAGGTAGTGTGAATCCTTTGCAATGCTTGTGATTCAGTCTTTTCTGAAAAGTTCAGATGCAAGAGGAGTCTGTTCAGCTCTTTAATAGGTCTGAATGTTTAACTAAATGGTGTTGGTACAACACTGCTGCCTCCTTTGTTCCCTCCTCATGCTGATTTAAGTGTCTTCACTGTGAAGGAAAGATCGTATAGGAGACCCACTCATCCCTTCCCACTGGTTGTCAGTGTCATGGGACTGGAGATAGAAAAAGGGACATGCATCCACATTTCTTTTTGTTATACCCCTGTGACAGGAGTTCTCAGTGTTTCCTAAGGTTTACAGCATGGGCTACTTGTAACCAGCCCTGTATTTGAGGACTGCCAAGACTGTTCACACTACCTATTTAAGGGAAAAACTTGTGTGGTTTACTCATACTTTACATTCAGTTGTGTAGTCTTTAATGAATGCTTCTGTACTCAGACTGATTGAAGTGAGTAGGACTTTTCACTTGGGCTCAACTTGAAGGATATTAACTATGTTGTATCTTGTTTGTCTTTATTTCAGTGCCCTAGAATCAATGGAATAAAAGCCTACACCAAAGAAATTGATAGAAGACAAGTTATCCTAGACCTGCAGATATGGTAACATTGCATCATTGGATATGTAGATTGTTCTTAACTCACTGCCTGTTTGACACCTGTGTCTGAGCTGTTGTGCTGGACTGGACATGTGGTCCACTAAGATCAGCATGAAGTGGGGAGGTCTTTACCTTATATCAACATCTGTCCCCCAGCTGGATGTCCTTGGTACTAACAAAAATGAGATATTGTGCATCAGCTGTTAAGTCAGAAAACAGTGTCACCTGCACAGGTCTAGGTGTTACCTACTCTGGCCCATCACTGCTGCCACGGTGTGTAAGAATGTGTCCCTTGGCTGTGCCATTCATGGCAGTAAGAACCCAAGTTTTGGAACTGTATTTCCTGTTCCGACAGCTCTCAGGCATGGAGGTGCTTGGTCTGTCTTGCCCCACTTTGGTTCCTCTTCAGTCCAACCTCTCCAGTTCTTCCAGAACTACTTGTGCTATTTGTTTTTTAATTCCTTCCTCTAGATTAATCCTCTTGTTTTACTCACCATTTGTTCTGTGTGCCACCCAATGCATTTGCTTTTTTTGATTACAGCTGTTCTCTGAGCAGAAAACTGCCTCTAGCTATTAACAACAACAACAAAATTAGATAAAACATTTGATATCTCCCAGGCTGTTTCAAATGAGCTTGTGTGTTTTGTTAACATCAGAGCCACTGCAGAGCTAAACGCTCTCCTGGTTTAGCCTGGAGAATGGAATTACTGGGGGAATTACCACTTGCATGCTGCTGTAGCTCTGTAAGTTTAGTGGGTGATTGAACTGCCCAATTTAAATGGCTTTTCTTCATGGTAGTGCCAGGAAAAAGCAGTGTGAAATTACAGAGTGTCTTGACAACAGCACAGAGCTGCTCAGAACTGTGCCTGCTGCTTAATGTGGCAATGGCATGGCAGCATCCCCAGCCCGACGGAGCACCATCTCTCCCTGCAAAAAGACATACTTGATTTTCAGCCAGAACATGTTATGATTCAGTGCTGTCAGTGGAGTGCTCTTTGTAATAGCTAGACCAGTTTTAGGGCCGTTGGCAAATCATTTGTGCTTTCCACATTGAGATGGAGGGATTTGATGCCTTTAAGGCTCTGCAAGAGGTTGCTGCTGTTCTCTGTTAAACTACTTCTCCAGGCTGCTTCTCCCACATACTCATTTTCACTGTCTTTTAACAACCCTCTGCAGAGGGATTCCCCCACCTCCTTGTTCCTATCCCTCTGGCAGATCCATCAGCATCTCCAAACTGGCCGAACACCTCTGTTCCTCATCCTGATGATAACTTAACCTGAACCGTCACCTGATAACCCAAGTATTTTCTGTATTCACACAGGAGTGTTCAGACTACCTTGTCTCTCTGATGGGAGTCTCTTCTCCTGGGCTGTGTTAAGGACTCAGTTAATACATTAACATCAGTTTCTGCAACTAAGATGAGTGTTGTGCATTGTATGGTGTCCACAGGAGGTAGTGTATTACTTTCCAAAATGGAGAGAAGGAAATCTGTGAGCAGTGGTGTTGTTTACCTGCCTATTTTCTGGATTGCCAAAGGAACATGTGGGTTTCTTGTTGTTTCTTTTTTTTTCTTTGTTTTTCTTTCTTAGAAAATAAATGGTCAATCTCCACTTTTCTAGAGTGAGACAAATCCCCTTTACAAAATAGGCTTTCTTAGCTACATGAATAGTAGTGAGTGTCAGCGCTGGTGCAGCTGATGTTGGGAGAGTCGCTGCTTAGAGGAGGTGGCCTTGATCCTCCCCAGCATGAGGCTGCTGCCTCTCGGTTTCTGCATGCTGGGGATGTTTAAATGGCTGTATCTGTCCACAGAGCTGTGTTCTGGCATCAGAGCTCTGGAGGAGAGTGTGATGTGGGGTGTGTGCCAGTGGGGTGCACTTGGCAATGTTGAGGCCACAGTGTTGCAGTGGACATTCATGGATTAGGGTGTCTGCATGTTATAAACATGACTCCTTTGCTTTGGTGCTTGCTGGCTGTAATTTTGTGGGAGTTCCCCTGCTGCTGAACCCACGTGAGCGTGGCCTTGTGGCTGGCTCACTTGCGGCTGCCACAGGGAGGCTGTCCAGCCACTTCACACAGGGTGCTGGTGTCCTGGTGAGCGGCACTCCGGCCTCAGCAGCAGCTCTGCTCAGCTCCACTGCTGACTTACCCTTTCACTTAGGCAGTGTCTTGCATCCAGAAATCGCGGTGTGCTCTGTAAATGCTTCTTGCTTTCAGTCTCACAGCCATACAGGAGGAGGGATTTTTTGCCTCCAGTTTTGACAAGGAAGCAACTAGTCTCTGAAGCCCAGAGTCTTTGACTTGGCCAGGGAAAAACACAGGAAAATGGCAGGAGTGGAAAAGACCTTTCCCTCTTAGTGTTCCTTTGTGATCTGTATGGAATCATTTGTGGGGTTTTAATAGCCACTTGTAGACATATGGTCCATCAAGTGTTTTGTTTAATCTGTGCTCCTGATCTCCATAACATGCAGCACTGAATGCTGTGATTCAGGTCTGTGCTGTGTGGAGAACTTCCTTTCCTCTGTGTTAGATTTGTGGTATCACAGATTGCATCCTTTGCTTGGGAACTGTGAAAAATAGCACTTAGAGGTCCCTTACTTGTATGAGCAGTAGCTGTCAGCAGAGCCTGGAGATCTGGTATTGCATGAAGTTAAAGGGACTTGAGAAGCTGCTTTAATTAAATCTGTTAACAACAGCTTACATGTCTCTAGCATCAGAGCATTGGGAATGGCTATGTGGAGCACTGTCTCATTACAGTCATGGCTGTCCATGTGAAAGGGCTATACTTGAGTTTTTGGCAGGAAAACCAAGGCTCAGAGGTGACTACTTGTGAGGCACAGAGACCTTTTGGCAACAGCACGGAAGGAGGCTGTAATTTTTCTGTCAAAATATTTTGCTCAGTCCCTGAGATCATGCACCCAATTGGTGTAAAGTAAGTTGTGTAAATTTTCACAGCTTATAGGACTGAACAGAAATGTTGAGATAATCGCTGCTTACCCTTAGGTCTTCTGTACAGACAAAGTTTGTCACTTATCTGTTTGAAGGTCCTGGTGCCTCTATTCTCTTCATGTATCTGCTTTCCAGCACAAATATACCTGATCTACAGCTTTCACATGACACATAAGAAAGTATCAGGGTTCTTGCAGTGGCTAAATGAAATATGAGGTCCTCACCAGACTAGGATTTGAAATTGTCAAATCTGAAATATGAGATTCCAGCTGGAAATAAACTGGGAATACTCTGGGATCTCCAAACAATTTGCCATAGATCTAAATCATGAATCTATCCCCTGAGCATAGGGAGCTGACAGTTGCATTCTCCAGATGAATGAGTGTCAAAGCATTCCAGAAACGTTCTCCAAAACTGTATTTTTCAAAATGGGAACTTTTCAAGTGCAACCACTTGACCTCCTACAGCTGCTTTTCTTCCCACTAATTCTGTAGTTGACAGAGCTGTTGTGTACCCATGTAATCACTGGCTATAACTCATCAAAGTATTTGAGGGCACTATTACCTACCAGAAAAGTATCTTGCAAGCCAGTTGCTTCCTATTTAATTAATCTGATTTACTACTCATTATCATTTTTCATTGGAAATGTTTTGAATTTTCATTTCCATGCTCTTCTGTGGTATCTACCATACATGAGATGAAGAAGAATAATAGTGTAATAATTAACATGTGTAAAAAAAATGTATGCATTGCAATTCTGGACTTCCTAAATGGTGAGTGTTCAAATCGGGAAAGACAGTCTCTTGTCATCTAGTGCAGAATTGGAGAAAGTAGTCAAAAGAAGTATGCAACAGTACTTTGAGCTTTGGTGGAGTTTGGGTTAACTAAGTTTGTAGGATCTTACAAGAAACTAAAACCATTTTGGAAATTTGTCAGTCTTGAGCAGAAAAGGAACATTTGCCCTCAGGAGCCTGACTTGATAGGCAAAGGGGAAAGGCAGAGATAGTCTGGTTTTTCTCATACCCTGTAGTACTTGGTCACATTTTCTTGTCTCTCTGTCTAATACTGCTTGCTGATTTACCCAAGACCAAAGTCAGGCAGACTAAGCAGTAGTCTGCTTTACAAAGCACTTGAGAAGCCTGGACCAAAGGGGGCTTTTAGCATACAGGCCAATGAGAATATGGGGCCTGTGGGGAGTTACTTTACAGGGGGAGAATTGCACGTGCCTTGTCTAAAGAGATGCATCGACATCCAGTTAGACTTGTCAGTATGTGCTCTCGTAGCATCCCTGCCTTCAGCCAGTGGATTGCCATTGTGTCATAAACACTGGTCCCAGTTTTTCCACCCAAGTCCAGAAGAGATGCAGATACATGGACTTGTAGAAGCTCTTTCAGTTCTCATCCATGGCACAGACATGCTAATTGGCATCACCTTGTGCAATAGGTGATTTAGGAGAAAAAGGGGTGTTTCTTCCACCCTTCACAGGTGGGTAAAACATGATCCGGTGGATAGTGACAAAGGGACACACTTTTGAGTGTCAGGGCTTGAGTTTGGCTCAGATGTGCTCTGTCTGGGGGAGGACAGCAGAGAGCACAGCAAGGTTATGCTGAGCAGAGGTGGAAGATGAAAGCATGAGCAGCTTGGACTGGAAATGAGGAGTAAAACTAATGAACAGAGTGCATCCTTTCTACCAAGCACCCTGGCAGAGGGGTGATGCCTGTGTGAAGCAGACTTAAGCATAATTAAAGGCTCAGGCTCTGATAAAAGGGGTAAAGACTTCTCTAACATCTAGACTCTAAAACACCAATTACATGTACTGAAGTGTTACTGAAGAGAGACATCTAGGACGGGGTGGGAAGAGTGTTTGACTGTGTGGAAAGGCATGATGGTTTTAAATTGAAACGCCACAACTATTGTTTGTTGTGTTGGACACTGGCAACAGCTGAATTAAATCCTCTTGGATTAATTACTGCATATTGAGGAACTCATTTTGGCTTCTCATTTAGACTTTTATTGTGACAAAGCTCTATTAGGACCGACTGTAATGAGCTGTAAGATAATGTCAAAATTGCAGAAATTAATAAACGTAAAAATAAGTTTAATTATGTGACTACCTTATAAGGAAGATTGTGTTAATTTTGGCATGGCCTGTGAGGTTGGTTATTTAAGAAATGAGAATGCTCTCACATTAAAGGCTTTAATTGGTTTGTTATGAGCTTTTTAAATTCTGTTAAGTGACTATCTGTTAACAAACATTTGCTTGTGAAAATGAAGACAAATTTGCCGGTTTACACATTCTTGGCAGGTTTTTTTGGGGGGAGGGAATCTGTCTGTGTGCAAATTACACTGTGAATTAGTGGCAACTGCAGCACTGTATATATTGCCTGTATGCATGTGGTCAGAACAAAAATCTTGTCCCTTTTTCTTTGATTATGGGGTGAAATTATGCATGCAGGCGGCAAGCACAGCACATTCACTGTGCTGCCGTGCCTTTACACCCTACTTTACCTGCAGGGTGTTTGTGTGTCTGTATCCAGAAAGAACTATTTCTCAGAGGACTGAAAGGGAACTTGGTAGCTCCCTTCAGGTGGTTTCTGCCAGAGGCATCAACAAATCTGCTAGGTTCTGCTCCCTGGGGAGTGGCCATAATTTTCTGCATAAGATGATGTTTGTACTTTAAGAAAAGTCTAAGGTAGTTTCCAAATAGCTAAAGTATCGCACTCGGCATTAGTTTTATTTAAAACCTGATGTTCTCCATGGCAACTGACCAAAATCTGATCTAAGTTACTGTCTTTTAATTCAGCCTCAAGGAAACCAGGTTATTTTTAGTAATGAATTTGACCTTCAAGTAGGCTTTTGGGTTGTGGGCAAGGGGAGGACCCCATATGTAATAACAATGGCTATGAATCAGCTTGGGAGCTGGGTCACCAGGTTGTGGGGTGGGATCAGGCCATTGGCAGAGAAGGGAGTAAGATGGCAATTGTTGTGACTTTGAATTTTGAACGAACCTGTTGATCCCCTCCTTGGAGAAAGCTTGCCTCAGCCAACTGCCAGTCTTAAGAATGGAAAAGGGACTTTGAAATACAGATGTTGCTTTGACATTTTGCCACTAGATCAATATCCCAGCTGACTGCAGGGTTTCTCTTGTGAAGATATGACCCTTGTTCAATGTGCTCAACTTCCCCTCTTTTCAGTTGCTTGAAAATCTGTCTCAGCCCATGGTGTCATGTTGTCAGTCATTAATAATTTCCTTTGTACAGCCCAACATTTCTCATTGGACTATTGCAAACTGTGGAATAATGTGAGAATTTTCTTTTCAGTTACATAGGAGACTGTGAGATTCACATGGACATATCAAAGTTTAATCTCGGAGTGAAAGGTGTGCAGGTGTGTACAGTGCTAATGTTGTCTGTTCAAGGTAGCGTGTCTCAGTGGGGAGGTCATGACAGCTGGGAAACCACCAACTAGCAGGCTTGGAGTGATTGGCTTTATCTTCTTGTGTTTTGGCTGGGGAAATGATGCCTGCCTTGGAAAGCACCTACGTACCACTTTTAACCTTCTTAATGTGACTCTTAAACAGGGTCAGTGCTAGAGCATTGAGCTCATGTGGGCCAGCTTCTACCACTGGAGTTCAGAGGAGCTGCATGTTGGTAGAGAACATCAAAAGTCAGCCCTGTCAGGGTGTTCATAAACTGGTTTGGATTAGGCCAACCACCTGTTCATACAATGTTAAAAACTAGTAGGCAGATAGCTTCATTGTGTGGCAGTCAGGACTGCAGAGAGACTCCACAAATTTAGAAAACATTGCCCAATATCAGTAGCAATGGTCTGGGGGGAGGGCGTGGTGGTTGTTATTAAATTCTAAATAAAATTACTTCAAATAGGATTTCCAAATTCTCTTCCTCACTGAAAATCTTGGTTTTGAAACTGCATCCTGAGAGTACTTTCAGACTCAGAGCTTTTCCTTGTTCTCCTTTGTTTGCAGTTGTATGGGACATTACGGGTGATACTGGAACCTCTTCTAACTGATGCACCTTTTATAGGAGCAGTGACCTTGTTTTTTATGCAGAAACCGGTGAGTCAGTAATGAACTGCCTTCCTCCTTCTTGGTCTGTCTTCCTGCATGAGTAGGGCTCCAGTGAGTGACACAAGCTGTTCATCACTGGTAACCCAAACTGCGTGACTGTGACTGCCTCACAGTGCAGGTGTTTGAATGGCACAGTGCTGATTGTTCACTGTTCCTCCTGAAATCCAAGAGGACAGGAATGAATTTTCCCTTTTCTTTTGTAGCAGTGTATAAAAAAGTTACTTCACTCTGAGAATGGGAGGACTTTCTGATGGTGACAGCACAGCAGCCATTTCATAGACCTTTGCTGCAAGGTTCCTGGCAGGTGGATTTTCAGTCTTCCCATTCATAGATTTTAAATGCAGTCATATTGGAGAACATTCATTCAGTCATGGTCTCATGCTTTGAAAGTTTACCTGTTAACGTCATGTGCCTTGTAGTTGAATTGTGATTTAATGAAATATGAGAAACCTAATCTTGTAAGAACCAGTTATCTTACAGCACACAGCTTTGCTTCCTTGTGGGTTATGCTCTGCTTGAGTTCATGGAAGTCATACATTTTTGATTTTGGATGAGGTACTTTTGTGTTTAGATGCAGTAGCAATATTTTAGTACATGGAAAAAAAACTTTATTGTGTGAATAAAAATACAGACTCCTGCAGTGGGTGGTGTTTGTAAATCTCCCTGCCTCAGGGCATAGGCCAACCCCTAGGTGAAAGGATGAGGAAACAACTTCAAAGTCTAGGTATGGCTGTTCGATTTACTAGGCATGACTCCAAGGCATCTGCCAGTGGCCGTTGGGAGGGGCTGAAGGCTGTCTTTCCCTGTGCTTGCAGGGTAAGTCCCAGTGATACCCTCGTTTCAAGTATGGCAGGCAAAATACTTAAGGGAATTGATACTACCTGTTGGTTATAATGTACAGATGCAGTCACTTACTGGTGCAGGTTTTGCTTTCTTTAAACATCTGTCTTTGTTTTAGAAGCATTTGCTTCCCCTTTAAATCCTGCCTTTGTTTTGAAATAAATTTTAATGGTCCTGTATTATTTTTCTCCCTGATCTTGTTGTAGCACTTGGAAATCAACTGGGCGGGCATGAGCAACCTCCTGGATGTCCCAGGGATTAAGTGAGTGTCTGTTTTGCTTCACTTTGTTCTTCTTTAAATAGCCTTTGGAGGTTGGGATGGCTTCTCCAGTATTCATCAGTTATTCTCATGAGTGGCACGTAAATGGTATCACACTGATGGCGTGTTCCGTCATACCTGGCTGTGTAGCTTGCAAAACCTGAGGAGGGTGCTTTTTACAGCCTGTCAGAATTGCTTCAATCACTTCATTGTGTTTGGGACTTAGGGTGGAAGTGGCAAATCCCCGAAACTACAATCATCTATAAATAAAAAAATGAGCCCTTCTGTTTCCCATGTACAGTTACTTAGAAAGGTAGATGAACAGACCTAGGTAACAGGCAGTCTGTGCTTATGTTTATTTACCTTAAAGTGAAAAAATACTAGGTATCACAGAGTTGCAGTCCCTCTGTCCTGAAATACAATCCATAAGGAAGAAAACTGCACCAGGTTCTTCTCTTTCTGTGTCATCTGCTCACCCTGTAGGTTCTTCAGAAAATGTAACTCTTCTCCAATGCCTCTTGGGTTGATCCTGTACATAAAACTTGCATAGCAAGGATGAAAATCTTAGAGGTTTTCAGTACTGCAGGATTTAAACTGTTTCTCCAGATTGGAGATTCACTTTGTCCTTATTTCTTAGTGTAACGAGAAGATTCTTTCACGCAAAAATGAAATGTATTTGGTTACTCAGCCATTGCCTCTCTCCCTTTAAACACAAATGCAGGCACTTCTGTCCCCCTCTCTTCCCCTGATGCTCATGGTTTTCAGACTCATAAGAAGTGTCTGGCTACTTTAGGTGCCAGTTTATGCATTAAAGGGCCTCTGAAGAACTTTGATGTTGAGTGAGAGGAAGCTTTGTTTTTCTCTTAATTTGGGGCCAGAGTGGCCTTTTGCCCTGAAGTTTGCCCTGAGAGCTCCAGTTTTTATCAGAGGAATTATCTATTCTTTTCTAATGTGGTTTCCTTATTCCTTGTAGGGAGGAGGTATGTAGGTGTTCCAACCTACAGCCTCTCATATAATTTAAGTGCAAATTTGGTGTCCTAAATTTTCACTCCCTGACTCCCTCACAAGGATTTGAACACAGAGATCCTTGCTTGTCCATCAGCAGTACGCATGAAAGCCAGGAGCAAAACATGCCTGGCTGTGAATAAGCTGAAGTACAGGTTGAACAAGAGCTCTCCCTTTCAAATGAATTGGGCTTACTTAAGAGTGTAAAGAAACTGGCTGCAGTCATCTGTTTTCATATACAAGCTGTGTTTAGTTGGATGTACCCCGAGACCCGAGAGAAGGGACAATTCTGTGACCTTCCTGTGGGTTTTTTTGACAGGAAAGCCAACAGCCTGACCAAGGGCTTTCATGCTCCTGGTTTTACATATGGAGTAGGAAAGGACTTTCCTTCTGTGTGAGTCCAGCCTCATCTGTGAACTCTGACGATTTCATTGCACAGTCTTACCCTGAGAAGCTGCCTTATAAGCACTAGATTTATTAAGAGGGTGAAAGTCGTTCAGATGTTTGGTGCTCCTGGGTTTCCTTGTTAATACTGTCTACTGCTTATGCCAAGTATATTGGAATCCTCTTATTAATCACCCAGAGAGCACTGAAGGTCTATGATAGCTGTATACTCCTTGCTCAGGAGAAGCAGTCAAATTAGTTGTCCCCACCATACAAATAGAGCAGTTCCAAAGAAAAGCTTTGAACTGAAAGGCTAAAAATGCATAAGTTTTAGATTAGACTGGAAAGTTCCCTAAACTCAAAGACAAACATTACCCTGAGTTCAGCCACTGTCGTCTCTTCTGTACCAAAGTTTTGGTTACTTCAAACAAGATTATTCTTCTTAGTGCAAAATATATCAAGATACAGAATCTCATCTTTTGCTTGGTCTTCTTAAAAAAAAAAAAAAAGCCAAACTCATTTTGTTTTGAATGTGGCTGTTTTTTCCTTCCATTTTACAGTAATGTCTCAGCATGTGGCCAACAGCAGCATTGTGGGCTGGGGCCATGTTCTAAGTCTAAAAACAAACTACCTCAAGGTCTTCAGCTGCCTGTGAAATGCTAAAAATTCCAGATTCCCTCCTCACCTTGGCTCTCTCTGCATTCCCAAGGAAACCCAGAAGGCACATGAGTTTGTAGGACTTCTCTGGGTGCACGACAATCTCACCACATGGCGTAAGCTCCCATCCATCACTTACATCCTGCTAGAGCCCAATTCACATCTAGCCCTAGTAACCCTTGACTGGAACATCCCTGCGTGCAAGTAAGCACAGTACCATGTGTGTCACAAGGCACTGGTGATTAGGAAATAAGTTTGAAAGGGATCTTGAGAGACTGCCCCATGCTTGTATTCTCCTCTGCAGCAGCTCAACTGGACACCAATTACTGATAGAAGACAGCCAGCCTAACCTTTCACAGGGATCCACATCCGTCTTTGGTGATTGGCTCTGGTCTTAGACTGTACTCTCCATTTCCTCTTGCTCTAAATTAAATGTCACAAGCGTGAGTTTCCTCTGCCCATGTGCAGTTGCATGTAGGCACGCTTTGGGGGAAGGTAGGCAGTATCACTCCTTTTGAAGCACCTGTTTCTTGTGCTGTGCCCCGTTCTTTCAGGGTTTTTTTTTTTTTTTTCCCCACCACCTGCAGCATAATGTCGGACTCCCTAATTCAAGACTTCATAGCTGCACGCCTGGTTCTACCAAACAGGATCACAGTGCCTCTGAAGAAGAACATGAACATTGCCCTCTTGAGGTTCCCTATCCCACATGTGAGTGTTTTTCAGTTAGTCTACCTGAGTGCCCATTAGTCACAACGTGGTTGCACATGAGCTTAGTGTGTTAGGTTCCTGAACATTCAGCTCTCATCAGCAGTTTCAGCCTGGATTGTAGGCTTTCTGTAGGTGATATTTCAGAAATGTAAAAGCAGGTGTTGGATAATTCATAATTTGGGGGTGTGAGGGTGGGGGCTGAGGGTTCCTACCCTCTGTATGTAGTCTTAAGAAGTTTGTTTATACACTGAGTTCATTTAACAATTTAAACGTTTAGTCTCATTTGATATTTCCACAGATCTCCAGTTAGAGGAGGTCAATACATAAGCAATGAATGTCAGACCACTTAATTTTTTTACTGATGATGTGAAGGGGTATAAATAGGGAGCTCAGAGGGTGACACATCTTTGCTACAGAAAAAATTTCAGGGAAAAACAACCCCGCTGAGATCTCCCAAATCTAAATGCTTGACATATATCCAGATCTTCAGCCTCTGTCATCAGTCAAATACCTAATACACGTTAATGAAGGTACATATAAATGAATGACAAAGGGATACTCCCTACCGCAAACTTGCATCACCAACTGAAGCTGAATGGCCACTCTGCAATAAAAAGAACCTGCAAATAGATGCTTAGTTCCTCCTTCAGTCAGTGGGTATTGATCTTCACTCCATATTTGATCTGACTGTGGCTGTAGTCCTATGTGTGTATGTATATTTCTGTTTTAAAAACAAAAAATACTTCCTGCCCAGTTATCTAGATTGCATTGTGTATCTGTTTAAATTGGGGGGGTGGGGGTGGGGTTGTTCTAGGTAAATGCTGGGAATAGTGTTTTAATACAGCTGTCATTTGAAATATACTGCATCAAAATATATGTCATTGCAGACCTGTCACAGTGACTACCCTTGCTGCCTGAAATAACTAGTTTTAGGACGTAGCATATTATAATTATTCAAAGATCACATTTTCATGACCAGTTTTGTATCTTAATTTATCCAGGGAGTAATAAGGGTTCATCTGCTAGAAGCTGAAAACCTTGTCCAGAAAGACAGTTTCCTTGGTGCAATCAGGGGGAAGTCTGACCCATATGCTCTTCTTCGCGTTGGCACGGTGCAGTATCGAAGCAAGACAGTTTCCCGAGATCTTAATCCCATTTGGAATGAGACATTTGAGGTACTGAATCTTTTGATCTTTCCATCTATAGGATGCACAGCCGTTTACATCCCTGTGCTTGGAGGACCTTCTCTTAACTGACTGCACTGGAGCAGGTGGACTTCCTTGTTACTTGATTGATGAGGATTTCTGTCCCTTAAACAAGTTCCAATTTACATTGCAAACTTGAAATGTCATTCAGGTTGATCTGATTTACATATGTGGGTTTTTGGAGGCGGTGCAAAGCACTGCTTTAAATATCAATCAATGCAGTAGTCTGTGCAGCTGTAGTCTGCTCTAGCATTGATTCTTCTCTGCTTATCAGGGATACCAGTTTGAGGGGTTTAGCTTGTAGTTCAGAAACAAGCAAATTGGTTTTGAAATAATTTCACCTATAATCAACTGTATTTGTTATATGGTTAGCCAAAAAGCAGCAGGGAATGTCCTTAATGTGTTAAAGAACTGTGAAGTCTTGTATTCTTGTCTGCAGTCTATATGAACCTATGTGAGTTTTATTTTATATTTTATTTTTAATCAGTACCTCTTTCTCCTCCAGTTTGTTGTTCATGAAGTGCCTGGTCAGGACTTAGAAGTGGACTTATATGATGAAGATCCAGATAAAGATGACTTTATGGGCAGGTAAATTAGCATGACCCTGCTTGGGGTCCAGTAATGGCTCTGAAATGGGACACCCAGGTTATTCATGCTGGAAACTTAATATTGAAGGAATCTATTCCTTTTGTCTAGATATTGATACCAAGTTATTAGTTCCTAGTGCAACTAACTCTGAAGAAGGCCCAGACTCCTGCAGGGAATCCTAGGAAGCTATTAAGTGATGGTTACTATACAACTTGAGATTTACTTCAAATATATTTTAGTTTTGGAAGGGTTTCAAGGGGGAGACTTCAGAAGTGTAAGTGCGTTCCAGTGCGCACGCGCACAGGTAATGCGTAGAAGTTGCTATTTGGAACAGATGAATGTGGGCTTTTTGGTGGCAATTTCTTCTCCCCTCCTTCCCGCAACAGCAGTATATGTCTAAATATACACTGAAATGTTTGCTTTTTGTCTTTCAGCTTGCTTATAAGCCTAGTGGATGTAATGAATGACAGAACTGTTGATGAGGTAAAGATCACAGCTTATTTCTAAATGTAGTTGGTGGTGTACGCTTCCATGCACTCATTTGTGCTCTCCCTCTTGCTACTACATTTTCTCTGTGTGCTTTTAAAGCTTCCTTGCACACTTGCACTGTGGTATTTTCACAAAAAGAAAATTAAAATTAAAATAATTTTTACAATCAAGCTGGCAACCTCAGACAGACCTGAGGTTATGCAGAGCCCGCAGTGGGATAACTTGTGTTGGTACCTCATGTCCTGTATGTATCAAATGTTTTGTACAAGGCTACTGATAAAGTTTGGTGAAGCAGTCTCATTGCTGAGGTAAGAAATGATTGGGACATATTGTGGTTCATCCTGCAATGCAGCACTCTGTAAACAGTGCCAGGGTGCTTGTCTTGTGCTGCTGCTGGTTGGAAATAGCCATATGCTTTGCATGTATATGGGTATCTTATTTTAGTTTTTTCTGGCTTATGTTTCTAAGTAGATGGACATGCTACAATCTAAATGTCAAAAATTCAAGTTGAGGCACTCAAAAGTACAATTCATGTTGTCTATTGTACATAAGTCTGACTGCAACATATATAAAAAAATATTCTACCTCACAGTTCCCAAGTTACTCTTTGTTGTCTCCATTTAGTGGTTTCCCTTAAGTAAGACAACAAGCGGACACTTGCATTTGAAACTGGAGTGGCTCTCACTAGTAAATGAGCAAGAAAAGCTACGTGAGGTGAGTAGATTTACTTAAAGGAATCAGATGCTCTGATCCCTCTCCAGCGATCAACAAAGGAGTGTGTAAAATTAGAACCCCAGGCAAACTCATGGGAGTTTATTTTTGTCTGACAAGGTTTTGATGTGATTTCTGTCCCTTCCGCCACTCCTGAAGAGGAAGGGCATTTGCTTGCCCCAGGTCCCTTGGTAATTCAGGAGTAACTCAAATCTGGCTGTTCTTTTTGCTTGAATTAGCAAAGGTTTGTTTGACTCGTTGCAAAGTGGCCTCTCACAGTTCCCTTCTTTGATACTTTTTCCTTTCCCTCTTCATCTAGGATCTGTGTAGGACTGCTGTGTATAACCTATACTAGTCATAGATGCATACCCAGCACTGGTTCTGGGTGGGGTCATGGTTCCAAATGGTGTCTTACTTGTCCAGCAGAATTGCTTGGATAAAGCCCATCTCCCAAGGATACTGCTTCTTCATAATCAAGCTAAAGCATTTGAGTTCTACTGAAGTGAATAAAATTTGTTTCCAGGCTTTGTTTTGCTGACACTGGATTATTGATGTTGATGTATGTGGCTGAGCATGTGTTTAGGTGTCTTGCTGCACTGGAGAATCCAACCGGTCCTGCACTAGAGATATGGAAGAGCATTAAAGCCAGTGTATTAAAAAGACTTACACCTCGTCTAACTGGTGTACTTAAAACTGTCATACTGTATTGGCTTGTGCTCGTCTAAATTGCAAGTTGTAGGAGAAAGGTGAAGAGCTGCTTAGCTGTCAAAAACTGTCCTTTGAATTTGTGTTGTGCTTTACGTTGTCCTTGATGGGTGATCGTGCCTGTCTTGTGTTTTGTTTCGTTTTATCTTTCCTGGCCTTTGCAGGATCAGAAGGGGCTGTCTACAGCTATTCTGATAGTCTACTTGGACAGCGCCTTCAACCTTCCAGTAAGTACAAACTACATGCAGGCAACCTTCACTTACAACATTTTTTTTAAAGCCCACAAATTAATTGTTTTCAAATACTTTTTTACTAATTCAGAAAAACCACTTTGAGTATTCGAATGGTGAATGTGGAGCAAAGAAGATCAAAAATAACAAGTACCTCAAGGTAAAATTTATATTCTTCTCCCATGCTTGCAAAACAACATTCTGGATTATGTGGTATCGTAGCAACTGAAACTAGCTGTGATTAAAAAGAAATAGTCTCTCCACTGTCAGAATCTAAGTGGCCAGGTGTTCAAAATAGTGATTGAAAGTCCATCCATACCCCAGTGAAAGTCTAGGAGGTTGAAGGTGGAATGCAGAGCAGAAATATTTGATTGCTTGTGGGGTTGTCTTTATTTTTATTTTATAGTTTGGACAGAGAGCCTCCAGACACCAGACCAAGTAATGTTCTGCTTTCTGCTGCTGCAGGGGTTCTTTCCATGCTGAGCTATTCCAGCTTGACCTCTCGCATTGGGGTGGGAAGAATATGCTTGTTGTGGTAACCTTCCTGTCCATTGGAGACTGACCACCAGACTCCTTCACCCTCAGTGTTAGAGGGGTTCAGAAGCCACCTCTTTCTTTTCTTCTGTTTACTTTTTCCCCCCAAATACTGCATTTTGCTACTGTGATGTAAATGGTGGGTATAGGGAATAATGTCTTCCTTTTTTTTCTTGGACAAGATCCACACAACCACAGCTCTGAGCAATGCATAAAGCTGCCCATTCTCTCTGAGTAGCTCCCCTCATAAGTGCTATCTTTACAATTTAGATGAGTTAACACTGTGATACACGTCACATCTGATAATCCTTTATTCTGGACTTGATTGTATCCTCTTTGTATACCACGTTGTGTCAAGACCAGATCCTCAGCCTTAACTTCTATAGAATTAGTGCAGAGAAGCACAGCACAATAGGTGCAGTATTATTACTTCTGGAAAGGAGTTGTTACTTGATGCTGAAGACTGGCTACTTGCTGCTTTACAGCAAGTCCTGAGCCTTGGAAACCAATTCTAAGAGTCCTGTTTCATTCAGGAATGATGAAGACTTCCCACTGAGCCTTCAGCTCTCTTCTGTTTCCTCCCAGCTTCTGACAGATTTTTAACTGCTCCCCTGCTGAGACATAAATACATAAAACTTTGGCTTAAATGTGTACTCTTGATGGTAGAGGGTAGCGCTGTGCTGTGTTATGGCTGGATGGAGTCCTTCCTGTGTACTGCATTCTTCAGATGTTCCACAGCTGAAAACTATTGTCAGCATTCCAGCGACTTATTTCAAGTAAGAGTAGTGATATTGCTTCCTGTAAACTACAAATGTCTCTTCTGTTTTGTTTTTTCCACTTTTTTTTTTTTTGCTTGTATTAAATGACAGAAGATGGAACGAGAACCTTCCTCCTTCGTCCTGCTCACAGTAGGAAACAAGACTCATAAAAGCAAGGTGAGGCTGTTTGACTCTTCTGCTTTCCTTAAATACTTTCTATTTTATGGGTGACTATCTCCAAGTAGCCCCTAGGAAGGGTAGGCCTAGTGAAGCTGATGTGAGGAGCTGTACCTATGGTGGTAGCTGCAGAGGCTGGGAGGTGGGGGTCAAGCAACATGTGGGAGCACTGTGTCTCTGTGCTCAATTAGTGCGTGTCTGATCAGCTGCTGTATAGGTGTGTGGTTTTGTGCTCATGGCCATGAGGTCATGTTGGTCAAGATACTCTAGTTCTACAAGGGTTGAAGAGGGGAAAATGATAGGTCTATGATCTGGCTCATGCTTTCTTAGAGCAGAGTGTCATTTGCATCAAAGTGGTTTTTGTTGCCTCATCAGTCTCCTGGCTCGTGTGTTTCACAGTTTTACTGATATTCTGTTTTTTTTTTTTTTTTTTTTTTTTTTTTTTTTTACCTGGGCAAGATGTATCCAGATCTTCTCCACTTTCAGTTCCTTTCTCAATATTTAATACTTATTTTTGTCTGATCAATATGAGCAACAGCTGAGTTCTGCCCTTGCAGTAGTTGCCATGTTTATTGCCCCACAGCTGGAGGTGGGTGAGGGCAGCCCTATGTTCTGTTGGACACCCAACAAATAGGAATGAATCCTGTTGGCTACACACAAGCATACAGGACTGGTGCCTGTTTTTCTTTGTTTCTTCCACCTGCTCCATCCAGAAATTGGGTTCTGCTTGTGTTTTTACCTTTTTTGGCTTTCCCTTTTCCCCACCACATCACCGGCCTCTCCCAAGCTCGGTCAGACTTCTAGCTTTCCCCTGCTCCTTTCCCCTTGCTGCCACCACTCGTGGCCTGGCAGAAGCAGCTGTTTTACAAAGCAGCCTCAGCCACAGCCCCCATGGGGGCTTTCCATGCTCTTTCATCCTTGAAATGGATGATGCTGAAGCTGTGCCCTCTTACTCTTTCCACAAGCTCTACACCCCTCAAACTGCCCCTCTGGCTTTCATACCTTCCCCGCCAGCTCGCTGCAGATTTGGGAGCTGACTCTGGGTGCCTGCAGGCTGGCAGCAGCACTCTGGCTCTCCCTGGGTGGAGAGCAGGGACGGAGGGAGCAGTGCCTTGCTGCAGGTGAGGCAGACGGCTGGTCCAGGCAGCACTGGCTGGGGCCAACTGCAGCTCACCAGACTTGTTCTTCAGCATTTCCACACCCCACAGAACTTGTTCTGGTTTTGCCAGAGACTTTGCTTCTGCATGCTTCTGACCTGGAAATTTCACACTCTCAGTACATCTGAGGTGTAGCATCACTGAATAGGACAAGAGGGTCACTGTGACCCTCTCTGGTGGTCAGTGTCATGGTATTCTTTGCTGCTTACAGAATAAGCTCATGTGTATTCCATAATCTTCTCATTGCAGACCTGCAATTTCAGCAAAGATCCCATGTGGGGCCAGGCTTTCACCTTCTTTGTCCACAGCGCTCATTCCCAGTCACTCCATGTTGAGGTGAGAGGACAGCCTTTCCTTTGAAGAGCAAATGCACATCCATAGAAAGAAATCTCTGTAATGGTGGATGTGATCTGTGCTGGTTGTTTCTGTGTGCTTGTACTGGGGTCATCCTACTTAAAAGGTGGAAGAAGCACCTGTTGTTGCACAGGTTATTCTCTGTTAGGTGATGCTGGTATCTACCTTTGCTCTAGGATCATGTAATGCACAATAGCTTAGTTCAAAACATGGGACATTTTTGGCTGCAAAATGCAAAGAAGGTTTTATACAGCTCTGTGTGTAGTAAAGCCATGAATATTTTGCTGTAAGAAATCACAATCTTCGTAATTCTCAACCAGAGCCCTATCTCTTTACCTTGGTGTTCTGGCTTGTTAAGATCCTGTATCTCACCAGCATACATTGCAGTTATGGCCAGTTCTGTGGCTGTTCACTTGGCTACAGAAGTGGATTTGAACATAGAAGGTGTATTGAGGTTGAACAGGCTAAACAAACTATTACCTAAAAAGCATGTAAAGGTTTAGACTGGTGGTCATCCCAGCTGCCTGGGACATTTTCCCCAGAGCAAGTAAGGAAAGTCAAGTAAATCCCAGGACCTAGTTTTTCTGCTAAGGCAGTTCCTTCTCTGCATAGTTTGAAATGGGATTTTTACTCCAAACATACTAAATTGTTACAGTCCTGAAATACTGGCATCACCCATTTGAAAGTAACCATACTTGACTGTGTATCCTCAAGTAAATAAGCTCTGACTGAAATACTTTCTTGCTTTGCTGTTCCCAGTGGTATGCTTTCCAGTTTGCCATCTAATAATAACTTTTTTTTTTCCCCACCTCGCCAAGATAAAAGACAAAGATCGGGATAGTGCCCTGGGTACTTCAGTGGTATGCCTCTCCCACTTACTTAAGGAACCAAACATGACTCTGGATCAGAGATTTCAGCTGGATCATTCTAGTTCAGACAGCTTCATTAAAATGAAACTTGTGTTGCGGGTAAGTTCTTTTTTGCCATATTCACTTGGCTTCCCCAGCAGAAGCATCCAATTCTAACCAGGTAAAGGAGATGAAACGTGGGTGTGGAGAAATGCAGCTTTGCTTCACACATGAGTAGAAAGTAGAAGTGTGACAAGGTTCTTAAGTGCAATTAAGAATGTGTGGTGGAGCTGAGAGGGATCCCTGAGGCTTCCTTAAACTAAAAAAGCAGTGCCACTGCTGAAAATCTTCTCATGACAATAAGAAGTTGGACTGAGAAAATCTAAGCTAGGGAAATCAAAGCTGCTAAACATTGAGAGACTGATGTTTTGGAATTGTTTTCTCATCGTGCTCTGGATCAGTGTTTAGACAGTGTTAAATACATACGCCGTAGGATAAGGGAAGAGAACGTCACAGCCAATCCCATAGGCCTCTTTTATCTCTAATGGCAGATTCCTGATGTTACACTTTCGTGGTGAAATTTCATCCTAGGTGGTAATGCTGGCATTAACTCTAGTGCTGTGGGAGCAGCACTCATTTCTCTCCCTTGTGATTTTTAGGCCTTGAATGTTGAAGAACCTGATCCACAAAGAGTCAAGGCTGGTGTTAATGCCTCGAAGCAAGGTCCCGTGCGTGTCGTGAAGGGTGGAAACCAGCAGAAGTTTGCCTCCCCACCAAAACCAGAAGTCTCAAAAGTACCTCCAGTGAGCAAAGACTCTGCGCCACTTGAAGCTGTACCAAAAAAGGATGGCGGAGAAGACCTGGACACAAACGACAGTTCAGCAGCACCTGCACCAAGCGAAACTATTGCTGGCTTTAATGAGACAGAACATGAGCAAAATCCAGAGCATCACCCATCGTCAGTGGTGCATACCAGAGCAGCAGTAGTGCCCACGTTGCCGGTCGTACAGGAACTGAGGCTTGCACCCAGCGTCACTTCGCTGGGTTCTCTGCCTTCTTCTTGCTTTGAATTAAGTAGCAGCAATCTGGACCTTCATAAGTAGGTGGTTCTTCCAGCTGAACTGTTCTTCTCTGGGGAAGGTTTAGGTTTTATAGGTCACTGTTGCATACAGTTGAATTCAAGTCTGCTAAGTCATTTGGAGTCTTGGGTCTCAAATCCCCTTACAAAGAATTGACTTAAGTATTCCAGTCAACAGCAAAGTAAATTACAGGGTCACTATCAGATCAGGTGTAAAGTGAAAGCATCTCCTTCTTGGGCTCTCCGAAGAGGTGCTGCATGTTTTGGCTTTATATTTTTTAAGAGCCTCTCACACTGAATATCCTGGGTCCCATAACACTCATGATTTTATGAACAGGAGATTGGAAATCTGAATATCCCACTTCTGTAAAAACATAAACTCTTCATAAGCATATCTGGCTGCTTAAGGTTTTGGATGCTGTGTTTTATCCAATGATTTTTAAGATTCATAATGCTGTGAACAAAGTTTTTATGCATAGGTGTGCTCATGCGTGTGCCCTTCCTGCAGTGCTAAGTGTGAAGCTGCAGGTAGTCTGCTCTATTGAGGCAGACAGAGAGCTGGATCTGCCTGTCCTGGGGTGAAAAATGGAGCTAGTAGAATCCTTAATGGACTGAAGTAGCAAAGAAGGTCCATCTCAATTAAGAGAGCATCAGAGCAGTTATACATCTGAACATCAAACCCAGCTCCAGCTGTTCAGTCTAGTACTTCTGAACTGGCAAATTCTCTAGCTCTGAACAGGGCCTCATTTATAAACCATTTTAAAACCATTTTTAAGCAGTATTTTGGATTTGAGGCCACTTGAATAACATGCAGAATGAAAGATAAAAAAGGTCCCATTTTGCATATACAGACATCCTCGAAGGAGCTGTGTAACATGCTAACCTGTACGTTGCTGCTCCATCTACAGCAGGCCAACTAGGGGCTTTTTTGGCCATTTCTACTGTGGGACTGAAGTCAGGTACCTGTCTGAAGGCTGGCTAGGCAGTGCTGGCACTATTGGGAGGGTTGTTTCTCTGGGGCCTTGGTGGTCTAGCTGCTTTCTAGGTATCAAGCCTTAGGATGCCAGGAAGAATAGTGCCCTGAAAGTTGGTTTGAGTTGAAAACACATCACCAACTTCAGAAACTCGTGTCCTGTTCCGTGCCACTAGGTCTGTATGTGTGCTCTCTTAAATAGCTGCATTTAAAAGCTTTGACTGTGCAAACTGTCTTGCAGCGGGACCGAAATGCCTCTGGGAGAGATTCAGCTGACGGTGCGGTACGCTTCAATACGGCAGAGTCTCGTTGTGCTGGTCAATGGCTGCAGGTAACACTGACGATTGCTTGTGTCTAACTGTAAAAGAAAGGGGAAGAGCTCTCTGAGCTTCTGTTCAGAAAAGCTGGAGCAGAACCATGTGTGGTGTAAACTGCCCAGTTAAAACACATTAGTGTTGGCTGATTTCAATCTCTGCAGCCTCACCAAGGCCAGCTCTGGTCAATGCCAGTAGCAGGTGTGTGAGAGGCCAGGGGGTAGTGCTCACTGAGGCAGAGATACTTTAACTTTCATCCACCCAAAACTCCCTCTGAACAGCACTGACAACGGATGTGTGTCTTGGGATGTCATGATAGGCATCATAAGGACTGATACCTATGACGGAATTTGTAAATGTTAATTTAGGGACCCTGATATGTGGCCAGACACTCCGTAGTGAAAATTTTGTTTAACTTCACATCTTTAAAAGTTGTATTTGCTTACGCTCCAGCTCCCAAGGTTAATGTTTTTGGCCCATGAACCCATGAAGGGTTGGTCTGATTCTGAGAGAAAAGGTATTAAAACACACAATGGTAGAACCTGCCTTGCTTGTCAACACTGTATTTTTTTTTGGCAGAAACTTAGTACCCTCTTCCAATCGTGGAGTAGATCCATATGTTCGTATATACCTGCTTCCAGATAGAAGATGGACAAGCAGGAAGAAGACTTCCGTTAAGAAAAAAACTCTGAACCCCCAATATGATGAGAAGTAAGAAAATGTTAATTATGATTGGTGCTGAAATAGTTGTGATCTCTGTATAACAAAAGGGCTTACATAAGGTATGTTCCTGTTGCTCCTAAGGGTTGTCTTGTGAACATTTGCAGATCTTCTGGACAAAATGGCACTTTATCCATGATTAGCAAGTACTTAGGCCTTGCTCTGAGCAGGGCTCCAGCTGTAGGAGGGCACCCCTTATTCCCACCCCCTTCCCCAATCCGAGCAGATGAAGGCTGCACTCGCTTTCCAGACAGACGTTCCCCTACCCATGTTTGAGTTCTCACTGTAGAGGCAATCCTTCCATTTGGGTACCTCACAAGGCTTCTCTGTTCATACTTCCTTGCCTGGTGCTTATTCTGACAGCTTTCCAAAAATCAAAGGCAGAAATACAAAGCCTTGTGAGACTGGACCATTCTCTGGCCAGACAGATGGATGTTGCCATCAACACCTGGTGGGAGCAGGGTAAAATGCTCCCACGTCTTTGCTGACAGTGTGACAGTGTCACACCCACAGGTTTGCCACTGAAATGCAATGTGTTTTGTATAAACCCAAACACAGTAATGCTTAGAAGCAGAGGTCTTGTGAGACGTGGTTTTAATCACATATTTAGATAAAGATACACACATGTGAAATATGGGAATAATGGGTGATCCTGGGTGACTGTTTTTTCCTATGTTGGGTCATGTCTGTGTATGTCAGTATAGATCAGAAATTGAGAAAAGACTTTAAAATATTTCATCTTATCACTCAGGCCCAGACACTGGAGCTGTGGATTTTGCTTCTGGCTGTTCTTATGTACTCCAGTGATTTAGTGCCAGCACAGCTGTAGGGAACAGCATCCCTTTTTCCTCATCCTCAGTATTGATGAGTCCTGTACATCCTCCATTAAGCACAACAGGTTGAGCAATACTTAGCTCCAAAACACATTACCTGTTTTACAACTCTGACTTGAGGAAAAGCTATTCAGGTGGGCAGAACTGAAATGATTTAGCATGGACAAAACTCACGGTATTAGATGGTGTGTGCCAGGGGTGTGAGTCAGAGCCATTAAGAATTTAATTGCCACAGGTTTCAGCCTTTGTCTTCTCTTAATGTGGTATAAGCCTACTTCTAAACTTGGGGGGTTGGCTCAGCTGTTTCCTCTGACTAATAAAGGTTGCATGGAAAACATCCTGATTGTCCATGAAGGGGGAAAATGAGGGTAAGTAGCATTTCATCATGGAGGCATGTTTCCTCCTTCCCTCAGCACAATGAACAGTCTGAACAACAGTGTCATAGTCTTTCATGAGGTCTGGAAGAGATTTCTTACAGCGTCAATAACTCTAGAAATGCCTTTGTCTTCCTTCTCTGTTGGGCACTGATGCTGTATTCTGTCTCTGTGTTCTGGCCACTGATGCTTAGAGGAATTTTAACTTTTGACTTAAGTCTCTCCTTTCAAAACTTTACTTTTAGGTTTGAATTTTTTGAATCTTTGGAAGATGTCAAGAAAAGGACACTGGATATTGCAGTGAAAAACAGCAGGCCATTCATTTCACAGGAAAGGAAGGAGCTGGGGAAAGTAAGTTTGAAGAAGCTACACTACTGATTTAGTAGAGCTGAACAGTCAGAGCAATTCCTGTAATCCTGAAATGCAATTCTAGTAACTATATTTTAGTAATAGGACTAGCAATCTGGAATCAACTTTTTCTGCCAGATTTTCACCTGAAATCAGGCTGTATCTGTGTGGAAGCTTGTGTGGTCTCACATGATCTGTGTGCCATGCTGCTTCAGTTCAGAAGGGTGCTCCTGAAGTAAAAACGTGTTTCCTGGGATCTGCTGCTGCCTGTTTGGGGAATGGCTCCAGTAGTGCAAACGTGAAGCCGAGAGATATGTGTGATTAAAACCCAGAATTTGCCAACAGCGCTTTAGGCTTGCTGTGAACAACTTTGATTCTGTGAAAAGTGAACTGGAATCACTTCTTCAGTGGCAGATAAATTTCCAAGTAGGGCTGCCAAGAAACTGAGCTGCAGCACGGAGGCTGGCTGCTGCCTGTGGCCTGAGAGGTCCCTTGTGCCCTAGAACTTGAAAGTGGGTCTGACTCCGGGGGAGGTCTAGTTTAGCTGATCAATTTTATACGCTGAATAATATAAAAGGAAATAAAATTTAATTTTTAAAGGTGCGGATTGACTTGTCCCAGGAGGACTTAATAAAAGGTTTTGCACAATGGTAAGTTTTCATCCTTTTCATCCCTGGCTGATGGTTGCTTTGCTGGGAGTGTGCGTGACTGCTGCTGGCAGTGCTGGTGCAGGGGCTGTGTATTTTGGTGAGGCAAGAATATTTAACCTGCCAGTGCAGGACTAACTTGAACTAATCTGGCAGTTTTATCTGAGTTGTGTGTTAATCCAGTTGCCCATGCAATACCTGCCCTGTGAAACAGTTTAATAAGAGGCCTATATATAAATTACAGTCTTCAGCATATTTTAAGTTGCCATAAAAGCTGCTGGGACACATAAGTAAAAGAATTATGTTTATTAAAGTAACCTTGCAACAAATTTTAACTTGGCTAAAGATCTTAACTAAATTAATACTCTGATCAGCAATATATATGAGATAAAACTTTAATTACAAAGCATTTATAGAAACTATTATAATAAGCCACTTACAATTTTGCTTGTGTGTTCCTTGTGGTTCAGACTTAAACCTTAAGCATTGGTCTAAGGCAAAGATTAAGAACCAGGGTTTTTTCCCTCCTATGTCTGTAGTTAATGGCTGTAGTTCTTCCTTCTTTCTCCTTCAATGGAGCCCAAGGAATGCGGTGTGGGCAGTCCAGGTGCTTGCCCTCCACCCAGGCACTGAGCCAGTACTGGCCAGTGGGAGAGGAAAACCCAGTGCCCTGGTCCAGCTGGCGTCTGTCTTGTGTAAGGATATGGCAATTAGGAAAGTAGGAAAAAAGTGACGCATCCAGAGTTCCTGGTAAAGAGCTGATGTTTGAGGCTGTCTCAGAAACCTCCTTTGCTGTGCCGCCTATGAAGCAGCCTGGCTTCTCTCTCTTGTGCCAGTTAAAGCTTTAACAAAAAGTCTTAAACTGCTCTAATTACTTATCATGTCTGTCTTGCAGGTATGAGCTGACAAGGAGCAGACGCAAGAAAAACTGATTTCTTCTCATGTACATAAGTTACTAATTTTTCAACTTTATATGAATGTACATATCTCTTTTGTAATGAATGTGTTTTGAACAGTCACTGCAAATTTGAAGCAGGCTCCAGCTCAGGACACGTAAATTTAATGATCCTACTCAGAGATTAGTTCTCACTGAAGTAAACAAACAAACCACCCCACAGTGGGAATGATTTGTCCCTAAATCTTAAGAAATGTCAGTCCTATTTTTGCTGTTTCTGTTATATCTCCTCCAAAGAACCCTTAAGTATGAATAGCTCTGAAGGAAGTGGTGTCCCTGGAGATGTTTTAGACTGTCAGCTAAGTATCATTACTTTGCTTGGCAGCCTCATTTCTCCAGGATCCTTTTCATGCTGTTTTAACATGAAAGCATTGTACTTTTAAAAGAATAAATTTTTAAACAGCATTCTTCAACTGTTTAAGATTCTAACAGCAATTGTTTTTTGCAAAACTAAGAAATTGATATTCCACTGTTCAAAAGTATCTTAGCAGATTGTGGCTGCAGCTGTGTACATACTGAGCTTCCAAAAGCAGGGAGATTAGTTTACCAAGGTGTCATTAAGGTTTTAGTTTGTGATGCCTTAACATGTTTTGTTCTTTGTTACAGTACATTTCAAAATCTTGTAAACCTTGATGGTAAAGCATTCTGCCTGAGGAACAGCAGAGTTTTGTAAACTAAGCTTTATTAATATTAGAGCAAAAATACACCAAAATATTTTTGGAAGCTTGGAGTACTTGTTTCTGTACAATAAACTTCTGTCTCGCATAAGAAACTTGATCTATGCCTTTCTGAAACTGACTTTTAAAATATGACCATAGTAATTTCAAGTTTATGCTAGGTAGAAACCCATAAACCACCACCTGAAGTAAGTTTCAAATATTTGCCTAATTACATTAATGGAGTCTGCTTCAGTCCATTACCAGACAGAATGCTCACTGCATAACAGCTTGTTCGCATCCCAAACTGATCTGAAAATGTAAACAGTGTTTTGAAATAGACTCTCCAGAAAACCAAGATAGGCAAATGATGGAAGTGTTATGGCTAAGGCAGTTGGAGCACTTTTATCTCATACTTACTGTGTCAGCAACATGGAAAACACTTAGTGGTTCCAGTATGGCTGGCTTGCACTGGGTTCAAGTTTCCTGGACTGATGTGGAATGTACTGGTTCTCTTCCTGTGACTGAGTAGACCAGTTGATAGTGGTTATAGAAAGTTTTTCTTAAACTGACCATGAAACAAGAATTAAGAAAAATTTAAAAATGCAGCAGTTTATTTATGGCAAAAATTCTGGAACTCCTGATTAGGTAACAGAGGTTAGAGGTAGCTGTAATGTCATATGTGCATCAGCAGATGCATTCACAGGTAAGATGAATCTTGCTAGAGAAGACCAGACTAACTGTTAACTAGCTACCAATTTCAGATGTCGCACGGTAGGTAAAATATCATCCAGGTTACTGATCTCTGAAACAGAATGGAAAGCAAAACAATAAGGCATATGTACCTAGAACATCTTCAAGTTCAGCCACAATTCTAACTTAAAATGTTAGAAATAGAGCTAGTGAATAAAGTCCTCACACCTTTTAATGCTTCTGGAAAAAACTCAATTTAGCTTATGTTAAGAGTAATATGACTGAATACATGAAAACCCCTGTTTGATGAAAACGAAGTATTTTCATCACTTCCTAAGGAATGATGGGAAGAAAAGGAGAGTGAGACAAAAGTTGGCACCTTCCCTCACATCCTCCTTGTGTTTTAGCACACCAGGAGTAAACAAGACACGTGTCAGCTATTTAAAGTTTTAGGAGGAAGTATTACCATGAAGATAATTACCACTGTGGCAAATATTACTCACCTAGAAGACAGAGCAAATCTTGAATGAGAGCTTGAAAGGGTGGAAAGAAGCACTCATGTTCTTCTAGCTTATTGATTATACTGAAACATGTAAGTGAGACTGTCAGATAAAAGGTGCAAGGACATTTTACGTTCATCTCCTTGGCTGTTTGCCATACTATGTCATGACTCTTCAGAAAACAGTTACTTAGTAGTATAAGAAACTATCTACACCAAAAATGTGTTCTCAAGTTCTGAAACCTGCAGCCAAAAAGTGTTAGCTGTCAAAAGAGGATCTCTAATTTCACTATTTATGCCCTATATACAGCCTGCATTTCCTCCTGACATGGCACCAGGTAGTTTTTGCACTGGAACATTAGTCTTTGTATGCTAAATATACTGCCTGGGGGTGGCTGATATAACTGCCTCAGAGGTGGAGCAAGGAATATTTTATAAGCAGCTATTCTCTAGTTAAAACTGAGGAGTGCAGAAAGGTTGAGGGAGTTAGTACTGCGAACTAGGCATGTGTCTGACTTGCTGCCTGCTGCAATTAATTTTTTAGTATATTTGCCGAGCGCGTGCCAAATGCAAGCTCTCAGAGCCTGCCACCAAGTACAGGTACACTGTCATCTGTTGAATATAGATATAACAGAATTTGTCCAGTTCCCAAAGTGTCTGTAGGTGGCAGGAGGCCTATGTTCTCTTAGCAACTAATACACTTCGAAATTACAGCTGAAACCTTGCAACACTTTCTCCTCCCCACCCACGTGCAGTATTTGCTTTGTCTCCTACGAAACACACATCGAGGCTTACTTGATCACCTTATCCACATAAACCAACAGGGGGATTTGGAACCGCCTGGCCTTAATTTTTCTCTTTGCCAGCTTTATCCTTTCAAAACTATTCAAGATTTGCTTCATAAAATAGTAGTAACTTACTGTTACAGCTCGCTGACTTCATAACAAATGATTAAAGTTTCTTTCAGTATCAGTTTTAGCCAGTTCTCTCAATTACTGAATTTGATGTTTGAAGAATGGCACCAGTGGAACAGCTCCACATACCTGTGGATGTCTTGGGTCCCCAGAAGCTGCTCTACCTGCTCAGTCATGTTCTCATTAATTATGTCACACAGTTTCCCAACAGTATCCACTACCACAGTGGGCGGAGCTGAACTGTCTGTGGAAAAACAAACACTCCATGTCCCTCATAACAGTAATAACAGGAAAGTATTTCAGACTCAATCCAATTCTTGCAGATGCCCAGATTGTATTCAGTTTTTACACATCTAGGTGTAGTTCCATCCTTCATAGAAAACAAAGTGCCTGTGGTCAGAAAACTAACATTAGCTAAGAATGGTGAATCTCTCAGCCTTTAGTGGCTGGAACTACTTGTCAGAGCTGTGTGTTTTCACAGCAGAGATGGCACTAAAGTGCATCACACAATGTCAATGGAAATCAGCCAACTGAAATGATAGAGAGGGTTATTCATTAGGTTCCTGTAACATAGCAGAAGCACAGTACAGGGACTAGGCCAACAGGGAACCTGCACAATAAATACTATTTTGAACAGCCAGAACTTGTTTTGGTATTGGATTTCACCCACTCTGGCTGCTGTGATTGAAAGTAACAGGCTCCTCACCCTTTTCTTCCTCAATTTCAGGAGAACTGCTTGGAGAAGGCATCCTCTGAGCTCCAATGATTTAGGGAGACATGAAACTTCCTCATCTCTTGTGCTGGCTGCAGGCAGGCAGACTGCTTCCCTCCTCAAAAGCAGCTCAGAAGGCCCGAGTAGCCCAGGGGCCTCACTCTCAGGCTGCACACCCTTTACATGTGGCCAAACCTGTAAACCCAAGAGCAGCAGCAGCTGCTGTTCTCTAGAAGTACAAACCAGAAGAGAAAAGGTACTGGGAAGTACCTAAGTGTGCCTCTCAGTACTGGCACTTTGGACATTCAGAAAACACTGTTACCTAGTAGTATATACTACTACAGTATATAAATTTATCTAGTATATGAAACAAGTATAAATACAGTAGTATACATACTACTAGTAGTATATAAAACCATCTACACCAAAACTTGTGTAACTTTTGACATTCAGTAACTTCTTTGAAGTTTAGCAGTGTAAGATAGAAGTTTCTGAGGGCTGGACATAATTACACTCGAATGAATTACTGAGCAGCAGAGGTTGAGTTATTTTTTTCTTAAACTTGTTATCTTCCAAGTAGAGAATGAAAGTTCAAGAAGAATTATGATGTCAGCTCACAGGAAACAGCTTTGGGGAAAAAATATTTTAAAAATTCAGTTTCACCTGTTACTCCTTTCTTCTGCCTCCTTAGTATTCCTCAGCAACTGCTAAAGGCTTACAAATAATGGGGTTTTCCTATTTAAACTGCCAATTCACAGCAGCCTATTTTTATCTTCACAGTGAAGAATATACCTAGTTTATTCATTTCTCAGCAGCTCAACGTGTTTTTTATGAAGAGATCAGCCTTTCACTTGCCATCTTCTTCCTTTGGCAATGGTCTGAACAAGTGCAAGGTGGTAAGTCTTTACCTAGTTCCAGGAGCTCATGGAGATTTCTCATAGCGTTGGTCATTTCCCCAAGCTTTGTGTAAACCTCATTCATTCGTGGATAAACACCATTCAGAGAATTCACATCAAACAACTTCTGGAAGTGAGAGACTATTGCAAACAGGGTTGGTAAGGATGGTGTCTGGCTGTTCTGTAGCAAGCAGAAAGAATAACTCATCAACACTGTTGCTTAACAAAGCAAGGATTATGTTAAACCATGAAACATTCTTAAGACTAGTCTATGAAGAAAAGCAGGTGTAACTTCCCTTATTAAATCACAGCATTTCAAATATTCTTAAATCTGAAAACATTTTAAAGAGAGTTTTCAGACACAAATAACCAGCAAACCAAAAATACACTGGAAAGCTTTCTCCTCTGTTGCTTGGTAAGTACATTTATGTATTCTCAATGCTGACTGAGGAACAGACAGAACAGGATAATACCTGAGACTCAGGGCAATGCAAATTCATCATTGGTCAAATGACTTTGATTAAAGCAGTCTTCCCCAAGGTGAATTTATCCATTATGTTAAAATAGTCTTTGACTATTGAATGTCTTCAAACAGCTACTTCTTAAACCCCAGAAGGCTTTCAAATGCACAAATCACCGTGTGAAGAACGCATTTAAGAATTCCACAGTAACTTGTCATTATAAACCCCTGGTAAGAATTACCTTTTCCTTATTTTCTATTTCTTCCAAAATTGCATCTACTATGAACTGGAGGTCTTCAACTCGTATGGTTTCTCTGCTATCCTGCAGATCTCCAGTATGCCAGGGCACCAATTCCAGAGACAGTTTTCTCAAGGACCTATGCAAATCCTGTTAAAAGGAGGGAAGGAACACAACTGATTTTAGTAAATGCTTGAAGTTGTTTTTATTATAGAAATGGGCATTTTCTGTTTCTCATAAGCAAAAACATTCCAGTACTGGAGACAGTAAGGTTTTCATTTTCATGGGATTTAAGCACAGTATCTTGCTTACATTGCTTCATTTAAAACGAATGCTGATAGTAAAAAAAAAAAAAAAAAGGAAGTATTTAATATATTATTTCAGTGAAATAAGAAGCATTGGTCACAGAGTTTGGTTTTAAACAAAATTAACTTCACTTGTATCTAGATAAAAAAGTTACGGTTCTGACAAGACAAATGGAAGAAAGGGAATGCATTGTCATTAAGGTGTGAAGTACATAGACTCTAAAGCCCAAGTGTCTTATTAGGGACTCAGGCAGTGAACAAAAACGTTTAGACAATGTACACAGAGGAACATCTCTAGCCTGTAGGCACACTGCACATTTTTCACTTTACTATGCTTTTAAAGTTGTACATAAGTGGAAAGCAGAATTATTTAAAATTTAACACCAAGTCAGACAGTAACAAAAGCTACACATGGAAAAAAACCACTACATGTAGGGAGAGACCAAGAGGTGGTTGGTAGATTAAAGGAAGAATATAAAGCCAAGTACAACAATGCGTTACCTTTAGGGCCATTAGCTGATCTGCCCACATTTCTATAGTGAGTGGGAGGTGCTCAAATCCACATTCCAGTCCACTGTCTTTAATACAATTTTGCACTGGCCCTTTACTGCGCCTGTATATTAATGGAGGAGCCCTTGGACTTCGCAA